TAACTTCTATCTCTCAATTCATCATCTGTAATCTTAAGGTGAAATTATATGGTGATCACTGATCAATAATCAACCATCAATGAGCATGAAGAAGATGAGTATAAAGGGAGTTTGAATTATATAATATAATCAAACCCATGAGTCATGTAAACAAGAATCAAATTTTGTTTGCTTTAAATAACTTACATTAATTAAAATTCATGGCCTTTACCTTGCAAATAAATATGGAAAGAAAAATATTTCTTCCTTCCGTTTTTATGAGAACCAGTTTTGACATTCATATCAAGAAATTAAGGCATATAAAGTTAGTTGATGTCTTAAAATTTTAGTTTCTTTTTAATTCTACCTTATATTAAATGTCATGAATTTGCACAGCTCCAAATTCCTTTTTTAAATTAATCATTTATTAGGGTTATATATGAAAACATATTTTGATTTTTCTTATAAAATTGTGAAAAAACTCTGATAAAAATGGACACTATATATGGGGTATACCCCTTATTATAAAAAAAAAAAAGGATGAACGGAGTATGTAAAACCCAATATTATCCATATAATATTTAAATCATATTGATTATAACCTCAAAATCATATCAATTTATATATATAAAAATGTACTTATTATCATATTAATTAGTGGATAAGCTCTACGTCCAGATATGCTTTTGGGACTTTTGATAGTTTATAGTTGTGAAACTATTAAGAATATTGAAATAAAAATTATGCTTGTGACCAATAAGCCATTGATTTTCATTCATACAAATAGTGTTGGATACTTATTTGGGTGTTTATTTCAAAAGAAATTATTCTAGGATTTAACATAGAAGTATTATGAGTTTAATTTGAAACTAATTTTGACTTATCATGAGTTTATGTAGATTTAGTGTGTGTGTGTGTGTGTTAATCCCTAATTTAATTATTCTCTTTATTCCTATTTGTCACAAGATAAAAACTCTCATGCATGTGTAATATTATTTTGATCATGATGTTTTCCCCTCTACTGATGAATAAACAACAAAGCTAATCCCCTTCTTTTCCCTCTGGGTTACAAAATTCTGCCGCTTGTAGTTCTACTCCAATCCATGACTTGTTCAGGAAGAATCTATTTAATCTTGAGAGACATCCATGCAAGTGAAATAAATCCATGAGGACAATGTCAATTTTGGCACTACTTATTAGACTATCATAATACTCTATAATTAGGTGACTATCATAATACTCAATTAGTATTTGACCAACAAATAGAAAAATAACCTTCTTGTCGATTCAGTCCTTTAACGTTAATTAGTATTGTTAATTTCATTGTAAACTGTTTATCATCTTATATTTCATCCAGTCTTCCATTTGTCATTAAATGGGATTTCATCGATCACACTTATAATATCATTCACGGGTTTCTTTGAATATCATGATAAAGACACAAATATGCACCTCTTTTTTTAATTCAACAAAATTTACATTTTGATCCTCTACACGAAGATAATTTAAAAATCTAGTTGAAATAACTTTCGTAACAATTAATGCAGCCTTCAGAGAAGAGCCTTTGGGTTTGTTATAAATTCAAGTAATGCATCAATTTAATTTGTCATATATATAGAAGGAAACTAAGCGGAAGATGAACTCTAATGTTAATTAATTGAGTGCTGTATTATTATATTGTAAACTCTATCAAGCATGTGATGAGCTTGGTGTTCGATCATGCACTTCTATTTAATGTGCTGAAAAACTTTGCGTTAAGCATTTGCAACATAACGTGGTGTATTTTACTATAAAAAATATGACTTTTGGCGATAACTTTTAGCAGCGACTAAAAAAGTCACCGCTAAAGTTACCACCAAAATTATATTTTTTAGCGGCGATAAATTAAATTTGCTGTCAAAAGTAAACTTTACCAAAAGTATTTTTATAAAAAATAAATTAAAAATTAAAAATAATTAATATAATTTACTTTTGGCGGCAAACATTTGTCACCACCAAAAGCATTTTTATAGAAAAATAATTAAAAATTAAAAAATAATTAAATAAAATTATTCAAAATATATTTATGAAATTAAATTTCTTATTTTATGTATAGAATTAGAAATAAATTATATATAGAAATGTGAAATAAAAAAAATAATAGTTAAAGTGTGCTAAGTTTAATTATTAAATATTATTCATAATCATTTTTTAGACATATATAGCTCATATTTTTCTTAAGAATTATGTTATTAAGCTAGTATTTTAATATGATAAATTTAAATCTTAATGGGTTATTACTTCAATTATAATTAGGTTAAGTTATACATAAATTATTACTTACAATCAAATACATAAATGGCATTAGGAAGTTAAAGTTATACAAACTTTGTGAGATGCTAATGATATTATAGACTACTTAACATATTGCGCACTTTATGCTTAGCTTGATATACATATGGTATTTACTTTTTTTACTGAGCTCTAATGACTTTTAGACAAAGATTTCATGTAATTCTTCCTAGTATATTTAGGTTTTCATTACTATAATAACATTTTATAACTAATTATTACTAAGAATAATATGAATAACTACTCAAATCTACCTTTCTATAAGATTAAAGATAATTAGATGTTAACTAGATTGATCACACAAAGATTCTTGTAATTATCATATATTGCAAAAGTTATTAGTATTCATTTTTAAAATTATTCAAAATGACTATTAACAAAATTTATGTGGTTAAAATTAATTTTTTATTAAAATTTTTTTTAAGATATTGAAAAATTATCTATAAAATATATTTTTATTAAAAGAGGGGGAAATATTTAGCTATTTTGAGAGAAGATAAAAATTTAATCATTTAGTTTATCAATTTTGAGAAAATATGGAGAAGAAAAAAGTAAAAGATATTTAACATAAAATGATATAATACATATTTATAAATAAATTATATCCTTAATAATTTTCATTTAAAAATAAAAATATAATTTAAAAAATTTATTACAATGTATATAAGAATATTATTTTAATATTTAAAAATTGTTTATTTTAAGTTCATTTTCCTAAAAAAATAATATTTATTGGTAAAAAATAATATTTATTAAAATTATAATTTAAATATTCATATAATATTATTTTTTCATATTAATAATGAAAATAAAATAAAATATATGTATATCTTTTTATCATATATTATTTGATATATGTATATGCAGTTACATATATATTTAATTTTGTATATAATAACTACAGATACATTCAGTTCAACTGGCAAAGAAAGGAGGCTAGTGACGTGGCACGTGAGGTTGTTTGAGAAGGCACACACGTGACAGGTGATGTGGCATGAGCTGGTGACGTGGCACATGAGGTAGCTTGATGGGGCATACACGTGGTAGATGACGTGGTGCAAGATAATGACGTGGCACATGAGGTGGCTCGAGGAAGGCACCTGTGTCATGTGACATGGCATGAGATGGCTAGGTGATGTGGCATTATCTGTTGAACACATGGATTGTGACGTGGCATAATCTATTGCATATATGATAGGAGATGTGGCATCACTTAATGCATACGTGGCAGAGTGCTGTGGCATAAAATAAATTATTATTTCTTAAAAAAAAGTTTTAGGGACAACATTTATTGCCGCTAAAAAGACTTTTAGCGACAAAAAGACTTTTGACAGCGACATTTGTCGCCACTAAAAGTATACGTTTGGTGGCGATAATATTTGTCACCGCCAAAAACTATTAGCAACGATTGTTATATCGACAATTTTTAACAGCAAAAAGTCGCCGCTAAAAACTTTTAGCGGTGACTTTTGGAAGTCGCCGCCAAAAATCAATTTTTTTGTAGTGATTGGATTGCAGTTAAATTATCATATATGCTATAATAATCCAAAATAACTGTAAGAATTGTAAACATTATATGAAGTGTCATAAATCAGATAAACATGAGTTAGCTCTTTGGATAGATGTTCACATATTTGTTTGTGACTTAATAGCTCTTATACATACATAAGCATATATACTTGAACTCGAACATGCATGTATTCTAAAACATTATATTTATACATTTAATTTAGTTTATAGAACTGAATTACAAGTGGTATTATATTGCAAATTTGCAACATAATAGGAAGATTTTCTTGGGGAAATTAAAAGCAAACGAGACATTAACTAAGAATGACCTGCCTAGTTATAAGTAGTCACTCTTCTA